AAATTGAACATTGCTGAAATTGCAGGTCAGATGTGCATCTTGGAACAAAATCAAGTCATGCACAATTTTAACTGTACAAAACAAATTTGCTTTTAGAGCAGCGAGACTGTAAAATTATAAAGTCAGAATGGAGATTTTGAGTTAAGGAAAAAATGCCTGGCGACAGCCCTCAGGTTGTTTGAACTGTAGGTTGCCACAGATCAGGGGAGCAGTGGAGCCAGTGTCATACAGGACCAGCAAGCAGAAAACATCTTTCTTTCTTTTCTCTGTCAGAGCAGAAAGAGAAGAAAAACAAGAAACTTAGCAGAAAGAGTCTTAATACAAGAAAAGACCTAAGTCTATCCGATCAACTATCAAATTGAAAATCAACCACTAAAATTAAAAGAATTATGAAAGGCAATTTAACTCTCTCTTGTGATTTGGAATTTTGTCCTTCAGAATTTTATTTTCCCAGCCCAGATTTTTCAACAATAATATCTATGTTAATCTGAGTGTTCTTTGCTTATCTTATTCATGAATGGCTACCTATCTATTTGGGATTTTAAAAGGGTACAGCTTAAGTTAGTAGTAGATAAGTAATCCCTTCTTCTTCTCTGCCAATTGTTAATGAGTATGTATGTTTACAATAAATAGAGATATTTTCCTTTTAATGATGAAGCCTCACCTGCATGTATTTTATCCTGAATAGCAGTCAGTCAGGTAAATTGATCATCTTGGTCGTTTATTTGGGTATTTCCACATTTCTGATCACTTGTAGAAGAGCAGGTCTTGACTATCTGTGCATTTTTCCCAGTTAGGTTGTATCAATCAAATGAAATAATTACAATCACCAGTGAAACCGTTCTGAGAAAATTATTAGATCTAAAGACTGACAAAGCCCCATATCCTGATGGACTTAGGTGTTGAAAAAGGTGGCTAATGGGATAGTCAATGCATTGCTGATCATCTTCCAAAATTCTATAGATTTCAAAATGATTCCCATATACTGAAAGCTAGCAAATGTCAGCTCACTATTTAAGAAGGGAGTGAGAGAGAAAATAGGGAACTTCAGACCTGTTAGCCTTAAATGAGCAGTAGGGAAAATGTTAGAATGTATTATAAAGGGTGTGATAGATGATCACTTGGATGTCAGTGATCTGTTTGCGCAAAGTCAGCATGATTTTATGAACGGAAAATTGTGTTTGACAAAGTTCTTGGAGTTTGTTGAGGATAATACTAACAAAGTTGATAAAACGTGTTGATGGATGCAGTATGCTTAGATTTTTGGAAGGCTTTTGATAAGGTCCTCCACAGGAGGTTAGTTAGTAAATGCCATCCTTACATAGTCTGGCCTGCATGTGACTCCAGACCCACAGCAATGTCATTAATTTTCTGGGCAATTAGGGATGGGCCTTAAATCTTGCCCTAGCCAGTGACACCCTCACATGAATGAATTTTAAAAAATTAACGCACGTTGGATAGAAATTAATGTACTTGCATGGATCAAGGAGAGTAAGCTGCGAAGAGGGTGTTAGAAGTCTGCAAAGGAATATGTTACATGGCTGAAAAAAATTGTTAGATGAAGTGTAATGTGGAAGATATGAATTTGTCCACTGGCAAGAATAGAAAAGCTGCATCTCATTGAAATTGAGAGTGAGTGCAGAATTCTGAGCTATACTGGGATATGAATATCTTAGTACATGAATCACATAAGGCTAGAGTGCAGATGCAGCAAGTGATTAGGAAGGAAATGGGACGTTATCATTTATTGCAAAGGGAATGGAATGTTAAAATAGGGAAGCTTTACTGTAGCTTTATTGTAGCATTGGTGAGACCACATCTGGAGTACTATGTACAGTTTTGATCTCCTTATTTCACAACCAGCAGAATTGCAGAAGAAGCCTTGAAGAAAAGGTACACTTGATTGATTCTTTTCATTGGGTTGGGGGTGTGGAATTATCTCATGAAGAAAGGTTGGAAAGGCTGGGCCTGTGTCCATTTGATCTATAAGAATGAGAGGTGTATAGATGTCTAGATCTTCTTGAAACGTTTAGGATCCTTAGAGGACTTGACAGAGTGCTGAAAGGATCTTTCTCTTTGTGGGAAATATCTGAACTAGAGGATGCATTTTAAAAGAACGGTCTCTGGTTAAGATGTTTGAGATTAGTAGTTTCTTTCAAAGTGCCGTGGGTGTTTGGAATTTGCTAACCCAGAGGTGCAGGGCCTTTCAAACATTTTTTAAGACAAAGGGAGACAGGTTCTCAATTATCAAGGGAGACAAGGGGTTTTGGTGGTTGGTAAGCAGAAATGTGGAGTTCAGGCCACAATTAGATCAACCTTGATCCTTACAAATGACAGAAGTCTCAGGGGCCGAAAAGGTCTACTCCAGCTCCTAACTCATTTGTTTGTATATATGTTCACGTACATTGAAAAGGATTGTCTACATTTTATTTTTGTACTTTCAGTGGCAATATTTTAAATGATTTGTCACATCTATGTTAGCAAACCAGCTGGAGTGCAAAAATATTTGCCAATCAAAGTTTGTGACACACGTGTGAATTATAACTCATTTCACCCAACAAAGACTAGATAGAGTCATAGAGATATACAGAACAGAAACAAATCCTTCGATCCACCTTGTCCATGCTGATATCCTATCTCAATCACATCCCATTTGCCAGCATTTGGCCCATATCGCTCTAAACCCTTCCGATTCATATACTCATCCAGATGCCTTTTAAATGTTGTAATTGTACCAGCCTCCACCATTTCCTCTAGCAGCTCGTTCCATATACGCACCACCCTCTGTGTGAAAAAGTTGCCCCTTGGATCCCTTTAATATCATCCCCCCTCCTCACCTTAAACCTATGCCCTTCAGTTTTGGACTCCCCTACCCCAGGGAAAATACCTTGCCTATTTACCCAATCCACAGTCCTCATGATGTTATAAGCCTCTATAAGGTCATCCCTCAGCCTCCGATGCTCCAGGTAAAATAGCCTCAGCCTATTCAGCCTTTCCCCATAGTTCAAACCTTCCAACCCTGGCAACATCCTCGTAAATCTTTTTTGAACCTTTTCTAGTTTCACAACATCCTTCCCATAGCAGGGAGATCACAATTGCACGCAATACTCCAAAGTGGCTGAACCAATGTCCTGTACAGCCTCAACATGACCTCCCAATTCTTATACTCAATACACTGACCAATAAAGGCAAGCATACCAAATGTCTTCTTCAAGGAAGATGGAAAGGAAATTAAAATTTATACTGGACATTTACTGCTCTGAGTCACCTCTTGGCTATTTTAACACATACAATGTACTTCAACAATTAAGGCATATCTTCAATGTCTGCAATTTTGATAGAACCCTAAGGTAATTTCAATGGTCTATCGAGCGCAGTGTCCACCACATATCCTCTGGTCAGTAAAAGCAAGTAGAGCAGAAGCAGACTCTCCATTAGGAAAATGTGAAGCATACCTTTGCGGAGTCAAGCCCTCACAAAGAAAACGTGGTCTTTTGTCAACCAGGATCATCCAATTCTAGATGAATTAACGCTTATTAATCTCTCTTGCTGTAATAAATTACAGTACCTGAATGCCAGTTGATTGGCTTCTGGGCCACAGAATATTTGCAAACTGTGTCTGGATAGCCTGGACAGGCTCACCACATGTATATTAATGAGACCATGCCATTAAAATGTACCTGACCTGTTATGGTGTCTCCTGGGTGCCTGGACTCTTTAATGCCTGCTACAAGAGATATTGGAATCAATGCCTTCTGGTCTTTGTGACTCCTACATGGAATTTAGAATAATTTCTTCTGATTTTTTTTCTGTATGAATGTATATAGTGATGTTTATATACCTTACAGAACTACAGCACGGAAACAGGCCTTATGATCCAATAGGTCTGTGACAGCTTTTGCTCTTCAAACCACCTTACTTCATTTTATCCCATAAACATATCCAGCAATTCTTTTCTCCATTGTGTACTTAACTTTCCTTTAAGTGCATCTATTTGCTTCAACACCTCTACCTTCTCCATTAGCTTTCAGCATGTAACTCATTTGCAGATTTTGGTCATTCTAAAAAGCCTAATTTTCTTATGATTCCAGCCAGTAACACTCTCCCAGGTATTCATTAGCCCGAATATAAGCCTCCACACTCCACACCTACATTCAGTCTTAAAATATTCACTCATGAATAGGTTTCTGTTATATTCTGATTATCCATCCTCTGTATAATAGGTTTATAGAACAATTTTCCTAGTACCTTCACAGTGAAAACATTACAACAATGTATATTTTTACATTGTCAGTAAGCGTCCCTATATATTTAAGGCTGAGTGGCTTTCTGTGCAGAACCTCCCCTGCACACTACAGAAATAAAGTCCAAAGACTAAAATGCAGCTAGTAATATTCTTATTTCAGAAAATATACAAGTCATTTTTACCAACAGTTCAGTATCAGTTCTCCAGCACCTTCCTCACGGTTTGATACTACAATTACTTCTGAACATTTGGATAGCTCCCTGAACTTCCCGAAGGCTAGACATTATCAGCAATATTTGCAAACTGCTCAGACTGCAAGGCTTGCACCTGTCACTTGAGACATTGCATCGTTTGTTTGAGACGGATTAAATGTTCTGTGGGCACGGTAAATGGGAATGACAATCGATTGTATTAGCCATACTACACTCTAATCAAATATGTAGACTTTTTATGAGAAAAGGTGATTTTAAAAAACCTGGCATTTTTTTGCTCACCTGTCCTAAAATATCATCTCAGTTCAATAACAAGCAAATTTGGTTTGATCATGCTCCCGGGAAGTGTCTTGAAGCTTTTTTTTTAGCTGAAGGTGCTATATAAACGGGTGAGGCTGTTGATGCCGAATAGCAGAGGAAATAAATATTGTCCATATTCTTGAATTATTTCTGCATACTGGGTTTCTGTTAAGGTTTGCTACAATCATCCCAGCAGCTGTGCAGAAGGCTGGGATCTCTCTCCCTCTGGCTGAAACACATACAGTCCTGGTTGTGGATCCTGTGAGGAGCAGCAGCAGCAGGAGGGAGTTCTGGAAGCAGCAATGGAAAACAGCTGTCGACTCTAAGCAGGGCGCCTTGCGGGGACTTGGGAATTTTGGGGCAAGTCATTCAGTGAGCCATCCCTCCTTTTCAGGAGAGAGAGAGAGAAAAAAATCCGGCCACGTTGATTCTCGGCGAGAGAGCGATAGCCGAGATTGAAATTACATTTCCGAGGAAACAATAAAAACCCTGAGGGATTGGCAAGGTAAGAGAGACGTGGAAAAGAAAACTTTTCGCCCACATTGTCTGTGTGTGCGGTTTGATCTGTGGCATGCAGAGGGTGAAATTATTCCAGGATTAGTTCCCACCTCCTTTCCTAACACCCCTTCGAGCTGAGGACGGTAAGATCTTGTCGAATTTCTGATTGTCTTAGGAATCTAACCTTTCGGGTGTAGTTTGTATTGTTTTATTTAGCGTTTACAGGGCGCCGCTTTGTAGCAGGAGTTAACACAATCGCTTTAATTGTATCAAGTTTACAGTCTGACGCGAAATTGAAACATAATCAGACAGCACCCAGATTTACTATCACTGGCCTTAAAACACTGTTACTTTGTGCCAAGCCGATGATAATGGTAAACGGTGTTGTAAACTGTGACCATTTGTTTCCCCTGGATGCAGTTTACTAACCCAGCCGAGTTCATACAAACTTGGAATAATCGCTCATTGTAACATTTACTTTGGCTCCCTTCCAGTCCTGAGGAAGTCATGTTCTATAGTTTCCGGAGGGGGAACGGTTGTTTGAGTTAAGGGCACCCGGCCAGAAATCTGGAAACATTTGACTGGCAGGACTTGGGAGAACAAAACAAAAGAGGCGAGGGATGTCTTTATTTTTGAGGGGAAACGGCGAGCAAATGCAAGGGGTGAGAAAAATAAGCAAAACTTCATAAACCTCAAAGAAGCTCCCCCTCGTTTGATCCAGGATAGCAGATTCTGTCTCTTAATTTCGGGCTGTTTCACTGCATTCCCCCCTACCACCACCATAGACGGTTTCACTAGCGAAGTTAGTAACGTCCGTACAGGGTTGGGATTGCTCAGAGGCACCAGTCTCCCCACAACGTAGTTTAGATGAAAACTAGTAGATAAACTGCTTAAAGTTTAGCTGCAGCTTGTTCTTAGTGTATTAGGCATCTGTATTGATTTGCAGTCTCCTATTACCTGTTTCGGGTAGTTCTGCATGAGGTCTGCAAACCTGGGGTGGTAGGTGATTTGTTGGAATGAAGAATGCAGACGGTGCCCTTCCCCCCTCGAACCCCCCTATCTCCCCCCAACCCTGGCAGCAGCACCTAACAATTTGACGATCAAAGATCCAGCAACTTAGCCCGACTGTACTTGAATTTTTTTCTTTGCAGTCTGTCTTATTTTTAAAATGAATTCCTGGCCTACATACAGATTTTATTCTGGTCAACAAGGAATGGCCCATGGAGAACTTAAATCTCTGAATCTCTATGGAATGTTTGTTTTCTTGATACAGATATTGGATCCACTGCCACTTACTTAAATCCAGGGAGCAGTTGGCAGTGCCAAGTTTTGGGGACCTCTAGTGCCACTACAAAGCACTGGCACACTTCTTACTAATTCTTTTGATAGGGCAGTCCATTAAATGGTGCATCAGATCACAGGATTATTTTCTGTTTCTGTTTAGGTCACAATGGCATTGTAGTGTGACATCCATATTCCACCAAAACGTTTTAGTGAATGAAAAGGCAATGGGACCAGCCCAATTGTCATTGCAATGTTGGTTGAGGGATAGATATTATCCAGGACGCGTGGAAGAAGTCCCTAACTCTTTTTGGAAATAGTGCAGTCCATCTAGATCTGGAAAGAGAGCCAGCCAACAGTAAGATGAATGCTTTTTCAAAATGCCTTGTGAACCAGAGTGGTTGGTCAAGTTCCCTATGTTGCCTTCCCCTGTGCCCCCCAACCCCCACCCACATATACTGTCGACCTGATTATTCAGATATTGAGTGGCTAAAGTTTCCATGGAGGAGTGATTTATGTCTGAACCTTCACCGACACACAATCTAAGATCCTTTTCTCTTCAAAGAGCCTATACTCTATTTCTCCCACAAGGACATTAATCATTAAAATTGACCCTAATGCTAAAACCTGGAAAGAGCTATGCTCAGCCCACTTGCCTAATTAATGGGTAAATGGTAACCCAGAACATGTTAGTATCAGCAATTTAAGATGTAAGGAAATTAATGGAATATTGATTCAATATTAATTTGTGACTCTCAAGACTCTGTATAGAATGGTAATGAGCACTGTTTCAGAGAAGAGTTGGGGAGGTTTCCCTGGGGTCCTGGACAATACCTATCCTTCAGTTAACATGACAAAAAGTATTGAGCTGGTTCTAGTGCTTTTTCATTCACTAAAAGAATGTTGCCATATGGATGTCAGCCTAGAGTATACACCAATGACTTTAATGGAATAAAATCAGAGGACCATGAATGGCTGATTCACTAATACTCGGAATATATAATCACATAAAGTCAAAATCTGCTCAATTGAGGTTGAAGGTGATAAATAAACATTTGAGAGTACATTGGCTAAGAATGTATGAAATAGAAACATGAGTAGACCATTTGGATTTTTAAGCCTGCTCTGTCATTGAGCCAAATAATAGCTGGTCTGATGGTGGACTTTATTCTACATTGCTACCTGACCCTCAATAACCTTTAACTCCCTTGATAGCCTATCAACCTCTGCCTTTTAAAACATTAAGTGACCCTTCCTCCCACGCCCACTGGGGAAGAAAATTCCATTGGCTTACAATCCTGTGAGAGAAAACATTTCTAAAGTGGAATGGAACAGAGGGAAATGTGGGAAGTGTAAAAAGAGTTTGAACTGATGGAGAGGATGTGAGGTCAGAAACACGGCTTGTGTTTAAATAGGTTTTCAAGGTTATGAGCAGACTAGTTCAACTGAAAGGGAGAGAGACAAAACTTGGTGCAGAATTTTTAAGATATTGCCTTTGGTCTTTCCAATGTTTCAGGTTATTTAGTTTATTTGAGATTGCAAAATGCTTCTGAAGAGAAAAGCCAATGAGCAATATTGTGAAATAGCAGGCAGATAGTGTTGATCTATCAGAATGTAACAAACAAGGTAAGGGAGGTGGTGTAGCTCTGATATTCAAGGACGACATCAGGGCGGTGCTGAGAGACGATATAGGTTCTATGGAGAATGAGGTTGAATCCATTTGGGTGGAAATTAGAAATTCTAAGAGGAAAAAGTCACTGATAGGTGTAGTCTATAGGCCACCAAATAATAACATCACATTGGGGCGGGCAATAAACAAAGAAATAACTAATGCCTGTAAAAATGGTACGGCAATTATCATGGGGGATTTTAATCTACATGTAGATTGGTCGAACCAGCTCGGTCAGGGTAGCCTTGAGGAGGAGTTCGTTGAGTGTATCCGTGCTAGTTTTCTTGAACAGTATGTAATGGAACGGACGAGGGAGCAAGCTATCCTAGATCTGGTCCTGTGTAATGAGACAGGAATAATTAATGATCTCATAGTTAGGGATCCTTTTGGAAGGAGTGATCACAGTATGGTTGAATTTAGAATACAGATGGATAGTGTGAAGATAAAATCCAATACCAGGGTCCTGTGCTTGAACAAGGGGAACTACAATAGAATGAGGGAGGACTTGGCTAAAGTAGACTGGAAACAAGGATTTTATGGTGGGACAGTTGACGAGCAGTGGAGGACTTTCAAAGCAATTTTTCAAAGTGCTCAGAAAAGTATATTCCAGTGAAAAGGAAGGACTGTAAGAAAAGGGGTAATCTGCCACGGGTGTCTAAAGAAATAAGGGAGGCTATCAAATTGAAAGAGAAGGCATACAAAGTGGCCAAAAACAGCATGAAACTAGAAGATTGGGAAAACTTTAAAGGTCAACAGAAAGCCACAAAAAGAGCTATAAAGAAAAGTAAGATAGAACATGAGAAAAAACTAGCACAGAATATAAAGACAGATAGCAAAAGTTTCTATAAATATAAAACTAAAAAGAGTGGCTAAAGTAAACATTGGCCCTTTAGAGGATGAGAAGGGGAATTTAGTTATGGGATATGATGAAATGGCCGAGGCATTGAACAGGTATTTTGTATCGGTCTTCACAGTGGAGGACACTAATAACATGCCAGTAATTGACAAAGAAACGAAGTAGGTGAGGACCTGGAAACAATCATTATTACAGAAGAGGTAGTGTTGGGCAAGCTAATGGAGCTAAGGATTGATAAGTCTCCTGGCCCTGATGGAATGCATCCCAGGGAACTAAAAGAGATGGCGGGAGAAATAGCAGGTGCACTGGCGGTAATTTTCCAAAATTCGCTGGACTCTGGGGCAGTCCCAGCAGATTGGAAAACAGCAAATGTGATGCCACTATTTAAAAAGGGAAGTAGACAAAAGATGGGGAATTGTAGACCGGTTAGCTTAACCTCTGTAGTGGGGAAGATGCTTGAGTCTATTATCAAGGAAGAAATAGCAAGGCATCTTGATAGAAATTGTCCCGTTGGGCAGACGCAGCATGGGTTCATGAAGGGCAGGTCATGCTTGACAAATCTTTTGGAATTCTGTGAAGACGTTACGAGCATGGTGGACAATGGGGACCCAGTGGATGCGGTGTACCTAGATTTCCAAAAGGCCTTCGACAAGGTGCCGCACAAGAGGCTACTGCATAAGATAAGGATGCATGGCGTTAAGGGTAAAGTATTAGCATGGATAGAGGATTGGTTGACTAACAGGAAGCAAAGAGTGGGGATAAATGAGTGCTATTCTAGCTGGCAGTCAGTCACTAGTGGTGTGCCTCAGGGATCGGTGTTGGGACCGCAATTATTTACAATTTATATAGATGATTTGGAGTTGGGGACCACGTGTAGGGTGTCAAAGTTTGCAGATGACACTAAGATGAATGGCAGAGCAAAGTGTGCAGAGGACTGTGAAACTTTGCAGAGGAACATAGATACATTGAGTGAGTGGGCAAAGGTCTGGCAGATGGAATACAATGTAAATAAACATGAAGTCATACATTTTGGTAGGAGTAATAGTAAAAAGGATTATTACTTGAATGGTAAAAAGTTGCAGCATACTGCTATGCAGAGGGACCTGGGTGTCCTTGTGCATGAATCACAGAAGGAAGGTCTGCAGGTACAACAAGTAATTAGGAAGGCAAATGGAATTTTGTCCTTCATTGCTAAAGGGATTGAGATTAAAAGCAGAGAGGTTATGTTGCAGCTGTACAAGGTGCCAGTGAGGCCACATCTGGAGTACTGTGTGCAGTTTTGGCCTCCTTACTTGAGAAAGGATGTACTGGCACTGGAGGGGGTGCAAAGGAGGTTCACTAGGTTGATTCCGGAGTTGAGGGGGTTGGCTTATGAGGAGAGACTGAGTAGATTGGGATTATATTCATTGGAATTCAGAAGATTGAGGGGGGATCTTATATAAACATATAAAATTATGAAGGGAATAGGTAAGATAGAAGTAGAGAGAATGTTTCCACTGGCAGGTGAAGCTAGGACAAGAGGGCATAGCCTCAAGATTAGAGGGAGCAGATTTAGGACTGAATTGAGAAGGAACTTCTTCACCCAGAGGGTTGTTAATTTATGGAATTCCTTGCCCAGTGAAGTAGTTGACGCTACTTCAGTAAACGTTTTTAAAGATAAGGTAGATATTTTTTATGAACAATAAAGGAATTAAGGGATACGGTGAGAATGTGGGTAAGTGGATCTGAGTTCACGAAAAGATCAGCCATGATCTTATTGAATGGCGGAGCAGGCTCGAAGGGCCGGACGGCCTACTCCTGCTCCTAGTTCTTATGTTACTTAAAAGTTGTTGATTCTTTTTCTATTCCTAAAGTCTCTTTATTCTGAAAACAAATACAAACCAAATGTAATGGTTTTTGTACTCGATTTTCACCTCTGCACTGAGGGATCTAATGACTGCTCTTTATTGAGCCTGCCTGATCTTCATTCCATTCAAATCAACAAAATTAAAATGAGGTGCTGTCTAATAAAGGTGCAGTGACGTGCCTCACCAGAGTATATAACCCAAGCATTGAGCTGGAAATTGGCCACACTGTGTCAAAAGGACATAGAAGCAGATGAAAACCATTCAGTCCATCAGGCTACTTCAGCCACTCAAATAGATCACAGCTGATCTGTATCATTGTCCTAAGTTCCTTTCTGTGCTCCATAGTCTCTGATACTTTTGCCAAGAAAAACGTGGTAACTTCAGCCTCAAAATCTTTAAATGATCTAGAACTCAGTCTATTGAGGGTACAAGTTCCAGATTTCCATCACTTTGTGTGAATAAATCCCTCTCAATTTTCTGTCTTAAATTGTCAAATTGTAACTTTAATCTTATGCCCTTTTGGTGGGATCCTGTTACTAGATGAAATAGGTTCTCTGTATCTATCATAGTAAATTCCATTAAACGCCTCTAATAGATCAATTGCAGCCCTCCAAACATGGAAATACAGCTTAAAAATAGAAATTGCTGGAGAAACACAGCAGTTCTGGCAGCGTCTGTGGGGATAAAGTGTCAATAATGTGACTAAACAGCTGCATTTCACAATTGGGTAAGTGCTCTATGGATGAGGATATAGTTGTGAGTTGAAATTCTACCACAGATTTCTTTCTACAGATGCTGCCAGACCTGTTGAATTTCTTCAGTAGTTCCTGTTCCTGTTCCTGTTCTTGTTTCAGATCTTCAGCCTTTTGCAGTCCTTGTCCTATTGTGGAAGTACAACCCCTACTTTATGCAGTCTTTCCTCATATTTTTAAAACCCAGGATTGTCCTGTTGAAATGTTTTCCTGATTTCACCTGTCCCATCCAACTCTTAAATTAAATTGTCTCCTTCTGTTCTGCCATAGTGTTTAGATAAAGGCTATCTTATCAAATTGTAGCTATTCAAGGGAGAATTCCAACTCACAACTGCATCCCCATCATTGATGTTTCACTTCTTTACAATAATTTCATGAAATGTGACCAAACCATTATATTAATCTTGTAGCTCTGGCAGGAACTGGCAAACCTGCTGAGTTTTGCCAGCAATTTCTGTTTTTGTTTCCGATCTCCAGCATCTGCAGTTCTTTTTTTTTTATATATTAATCTCATTAATTTTGTCAATTTGACCTATCTATATGAAAGAAAATTAGTTTTGGATACAGTCCGAACAATGAACATTTTAACAGAAGGTATATTGTATATAAAGCAGTGTTGCTCATGAACATGCTGTTGATTACATAATTTTTAATATCCTGTACAGAGTAATAGCCAACATGAGTGTACTTCCACCTGTCAGAAGAGATCGAATCATACCGAAACTCCCTTTGGTAAGGTAGACTGCTTGCTCTTGTTTGAACCAATACTTACATGGTTCCAGAACTGAGTATAAAAACATATGTTACATTCTGTTATATAACACATTTTTCAGTATAAAATCTCACCTTGGTATACATGCAGGAGTATAGGAACTGGTAACTTAAGGATCGTAGTCAGTTTTCTGGTTGGCTAAGATACAAATAATCCAATTGTAAAATGAGACAGACTGCCGAAATGTAGGTTTTTAGGCAACAGATATCACAGCATGTGTCAGATTCATACAAAATTAGTGGACGTTGTTTGTCAATCTCCCAATTTGAACAGTAAATGTGAGAGCTTTATGATGTAAAATAACATTGTAATAGTGCTGTTTGTTATCTTGACAGCAAAGACTGGAAATTATAAGTCTTGGGCTATATGTGAGCGATGCCACAGTAGCTATTTTGGGGGCGGCTGTGGTGTAGTGGTAAATTCAGTGGATTATTAATCTGGAACCACAGTCTAAAGGTCTGGTGATGTCAGTTCAAATCCAACCATGGCAGAAATTTTAATTCAATAAAATCTGGAATAAAAAGCTAGCCTAATGGTTACCATGAAAATATCATTGTCAATTGTTTAAAACCTCATTTGGTTTACTAAAGCCCTTTAGGAAAGTATAATGATTGGAACCAGGACCAGGTGGATCACATTGAGATCTATGAGCTCCTTGATTGGTCCAGGTTAACAGCACCAATCAGGGAGTCCTGGCTGACAGATATAAGCAGGAGATTCAGAATGTCTCCTCAGTCTAGAGACTGGCTTTGAGCTGGCTGGTCAGAGCCCGTGTAAACAAAAGGGTGACTTGGCATTACCTGATCTAGTGTCCATGTATTTCTTTATGTACAGCAATGTAATTGAGCTTTAACTGCCCTTTGGGCAATTGGGAATAGGCAATAAATGCCAGCAACACCCACATCCCATGAATGCATATTTTTATAACATTGTTAGGAAAACATTTAATATTTCAATATATCCACTGTTCATATGGTTTATAGGCTGTTTTCTCTTTAAGAAATGGGGTCTTGGGTGGTGGTGTGTGCCACAGTATCCCTCTCCAAGAATTTTCACTCATTGGCAAACAGAGAGCTTGTGGGTTATAAAAAAGATGCTTGTTGCAAGAATGAAACAGACTTGATCATCTTGTAGCTGCCAGTGCTCCATGTAAAATTGCAATTCCTGTAAGTAAGCCACACTTTGCGGAGTTTTCTGCCTAACCAAATCCCAGCATTCAGAATGAGTTTCTTTGTTTTTGTTTGTTCAAATTTCAGATAATTTGCTTTATACATTCAGTTATAGGGAACTCACTGGCACGTCTGTAAATGGCTTTCCTGGGCAAACCAAAGTGGCTTCCTATTCAAATTAATTAAGTGCAGCAAAAAAACAATCTTTAAACATAATATTGATACAGTTCTGTCTGAAATATCTGAATAATACATGTTATTCCAGGAAACTAAACAGGTATTCAACAATAGCAAAGCAATTAGCTCACAAAGTTTGAAATAAATCCCTATATTTTACAGTTAAAGCAGCCATTTTATAATTTTTTGAAAAAGCCAACTAGTTCAAAATCCTTTGGCCATGGTTTTCTGGTCACAACGCCAATAAGAATCCATTACAAATAAAAGGGGTCATGATAGAAAGCCTGGGCCCTTATTTTGGTGACATTAGAATAATCATTGTCTTCTTATCTCCACCATCTGGAGCAAACACACTGAAGTGTACTTGAAACACATTACTAGAAAGTGATTACGTGCTGAAACATGACTGATCATGGTTTTGATGATTTCTTTGAGCAGTAGTTTGCAGAGATGTTCTCTATCTATGCTGATGTAAGTATCTGGGTGAAGGACTGGTGGATTGTAAGATTGGTCTAGCATGAGGCTGTACTTTCAGGAGAGGAAGGGAGGAAATTGAAAAATAAAGGCAGTAGACCTCCATGAACCAGGTCAGGCTATGACTAAGGCTAAGTGTACACAGCTTATGTTTCCTGAGCTTTATCATATGTCTCTACTAGTGTAATTTTAAGTTGTTATGGTATGACTTTACAGTAAAGAGGTTCATGAGATAGTCTTGAAATTATGTTGTCAGTAAGACAGTGTATTTGTCTGGATTCCCTTTTCTGCTTGTTTAAAGTAATGGGTTGCTACCTCTACCACAATGAAGAAAGGAATTTCACCTGAATGCTCCAAGCATTCTTGAAATAGGGGTCCCTCACTATAATTTCAAGGTCCTTCTTTTTATTTACACAGCCAAATGGTAATGTGAAAAACAGCAGTGAAATACTTAAAATGCTACAAGTTTCAGTACTATGGGTGATATAGTTTTGATTCCACCTAAAATGGGGCCGTACATGTTTGTACCTGCATTGGTTGAAATGATCTCCAACATTATTTATATTCTAGTCTCAGTTTTAGTAAATTGCGCTTCGAAAATTACCCCTAAGCTCTTATTCTTCAAGAAGTTCTGAAGTATGAAAGAGCCCTTTACCACACCTGTGGCCCCAGTCTAGACTTGTCTTTCAACAAGAATGTTTTTCTCACTTACTACTTTCACTCTATTTTCGGGCAAAACTTTAATTGTCAATTAAGAAATAATTGCCAAGATTATTTCTTACTGTGTGGTCTTGCCTATTCATTTCCTAAAGTCTGCAGGCCAGAATCATCAAAGTCTGAAAGTTTAAGTATTCAAGTAATATACACATAATAGAATATGATTATATCAGTCTAAAACTCATTGTTGGTGTCCTGTTCAGAGTGTAACCATTGAAGCTTCTCAGGAGAAATTATGCCTGCTTTAAACAAAACTGAATTGCATGTAGAAAATTGTGCATTTCCCCAACTACACAGCTGGCTGATTGACAGAGCACTGGATTATTGAGCAGCTTTTAAATGAACTAAAAAGATATTTAAGCTGTGACAATTGCTCAGGAGAGTGGAGCCCAGTGATTATTCTTGAAAAAGTTATTGTAAAAGACTTGCCATTTTGTTTTTCTGTGTTTTTGATTGTGGCCTGAAATAGAAGAAGGACTGTTTCAAAACCCAAAGGTTGTGGAAGAGATCTCTGCATGTTTTAAAAGCAATTGACCAAAACTCATTGTAAGTGGTGTTCACACTGTTGCTTTGCTCAACCAATGGGAAAAGCTAATTGCAGATGGGTTGGCACCGGAGGTGTGTACAAAGTGAGTTTCAGCTGGCAACAAGTACCTGATTGGTTTGGGGAGTTGTGACCCGCTGTGGATGACGATGATTATCTGTCTACTATTTGCTTAGCTCCCAAGTAGCTGAATAGCCTGGCGTGTGAAGGAAATGGCTAGATTCCTTCCAACCTCTTCTGGAGTGCTGTGTCCAGTTTTGGTCTCCCTGTTAAAGGAAGGATATTATTAACCTGGAGAGGGTTCAGAAGAGATTTGCCAGGATGTTGACAGGAATGGAGGATTTTTACTTATAAGGAGAGGCTGGATAGTCTGGGATATTTTTCACTGGAGCGTAGGAGGTTGAGGGGTCACTGTATAGAGGTTTATAAAATCATGAGGTGTATAGATAAGGCGAATGGCAGGTGTCTTTCCCATAGAGTGGAGGATTCCAAGACAAGGGGACATATTTTCAAGGTGAGAGGAGAAAGATTTAAAAAAGACATGAGAGGCAATTTTTTTACACAGAGTCGTTCAGGTGTGAAATGAACTTCCAGAGGAAGTGGTGGATGCAGGTGCAGTTACAACGTTTAAAAAGGCATTTAGATATGTACATGAATAAGAAATGTTTGGAGGGATATGGGCCAATCGCAAGCAGGTGGGACTAGTTTAGTTTGGGATTATAGTTGGCATGGACTGGTTGGACCGAATGGTCTGTTTCTGTGCTGTATGACTCTATGCTGTCTGTCTCCATCTGTAGTAACAAATGCCTAAAGCCAGTTTATTTTCCCTCACCAGTTTCTGTAAGCTATGCCTTTCAACCTATAGCTAAGAGACTTTGCTATTTGTGAACTAGTCACTCTGTGCTTTCTGCAAGAAAGCTAACAGTACCTGGAGACAAGAGGTTGAAGAACGGCAAACAAAAATGAATCGGTTCAGCGAACCCTGTGGACATAGGCCATTAAACCGCCTTCCCACTTTTCTCCTTTCATGCATAACACCAATGTTTTTTTCCTGCCTGTTTCTGCATGTGTGTAGAGGGAGTTTTATAAAGGATCAGAGTTTTAGCTAGCAGAATAATATATTAATACTTAATAGTCATCTACCTGTAGCTAGAATCAGTTTATTTATAATAAATAATAATTCTTATTAAGTACAGATACCTGGTCCATGCTTTCCATCAGACTCGGTCTAAAAAGACAGGTAAATTGGGTATTTTAGTCTAGTTTGATAAAATCTTTAACTTTTGTGATGACTCCAGGAATAACGGGGCTTGATTTCCAGTGTACTTCTCAAGTGAGCAGTCACACTATAGAAAATGCAGGCTTTCAGAATAAAAGCCATTTGATTGTACATCAAAACCATGGAGGTTCCCATTCATGCTGTGTGGTAAAGGATTCCTTTAATGGGCTAAGGACACTGTCCTCACTTGTCAGAAAAGCCTAGTTCAGCAAACATGGGAGATCATTTCTGTCAGTCAGTTGTATTTGCAGAATGCAATCTAGATAGAAACAGGCCAGAGTCAAGTTGGTGAATCTAAAGAAGGCTGCAGTATAATTTTATGTCAGAGCTTATCTCTGGCTGAATGCCCCTCAGAGATCCTACTTACTAGCAAATCCTTTACCCCTTCATAGAAACTCACCCTATGTAGTGCTGCAGATAACTGAACGTATAGCTGGCCAGACTGTGACAAATTCAGATGGCAATTTATATGACTTAGGTTTTAATCAAGTTATCCTTGGTAAGACAACTTCACAAGATGTACTAATGGAATGGGCAGCAGTATGTACTCCCTAAAATGGCAAAATGCGAAGATCGCTTCACTGCATCAAACAAGATAACAAATGAAAGCATAGCAAGAATGATGTGGAGGCAAGAGTGTATTTGGGGTTTCAAAACTTTTGTTCTTTCGAGGAGATTATCGTAGTTGCTATTGAGTGGGGCAGCATTGAAGGAGAAAGCTGAATGGCCTAGACCTGCTCCTGTTTCTTGTGTTTTTATTCAAGGGTATAGGGATAATGTGGAGAGGTAGAATTAAAGTAGGAAATTGCCCATGACTGTATTGAATGTGGAGCAGACTCCACATGGTTGAATAGCTTTCTCTTGCTCCTGTTTTTCATATTCATAAGGGATGTAGAAGCAGAGACCTACTCCAAGCTCAGGGCTATCATTAACCAGGTCTTGTTACATTTTGACGCATACTCACTCGCTGTCACAAAGAGAACATCAGCTTCAAAGTGCCACTCATGGTATTTTGCAGTGAAGTGGGGGTTTGAGGATTTTTTTTCAGAAAACATTTCAATGTGTTCTTCCTTTCTTTTTCTGGGCTTGAAGAGCAGCAAACACTACCACTCAGCAATCCCTGTCACTCACAACGTGGCCTTCATTCTCTGTTTTGGTTTAAAAATTATGCCCCGATCAAATTGACAGAACATTTGAGGCAGAGATTCACAGATGTTACTGTTGCCCTGAGTGCTGCCTGAAAACAGATCATTTGGCAGACTGAGGATTATGCATGGTTTAGACAATCTAGCTGTCTCAGTTTCTGACGAAAGCACGCAGCCAGCACATGTGCAATCACATAGAAGTAATATGTTTGGGGCAAGACAGCACACATAATGAGGCAGCACTGTGTGAAGGCACCATAGTAAAACATGTTGACACTACTCGCACATCATATTGAGTGGAGTAATAAATTGAATGTACTTAAAAACTTCCAGCACAGTGTTTACCTCTATTTGTATAAGCTCACAACACAGCAAAGAATTGAATTTAATGGCAGTTGATGAAATGTGGAGGTTGGTCTTGTAGGTTGTGGCTTTGGATCATCTGATTGTGCACACCTGGATAGGGCAATTCCTAAAAGAAGCAACTAATCACTTAGCAAAATGTAACCTGTACTAAATCCAAATGTACTAGTCTTTAAGGTTGATGTAGTGTTACGGGAGCGATCTCATTTATATTGTACTTTTCATGAACGCTGGACATCCCAAAGTAGTTTATAGCAATTGAAGTGTCTTTGAAGTATATTGGCTGTTGCAGTATAGGAACCGTAGCAACCAGTTTGCGCAGAGCAGACTCCCATAAGCAGCAATGACCAGATAATCACTTTTTTGTGATGTTGATTGGGGCCAAATATTGGCCAAGACAATGAGGTTCCGTCCCTTGCTCTCTTCCAAAATAACTCAATGGACTCCCTTAATATCTGCCTGAACAGTCAGATGGAGCCGCAGTTTAATATCTCATCCAAAAGAAAGCATCTCTAACTGTGCAGTATTTCCCTCAGTATTGCACTGCAGTGTCATGTGTCAACCAATCAAGACCTGAAGCAGGACTTGAAGCTAGAACCTTTTGACTTAGAGATGCGAATGCAACTGACTGGGTCAGCAGGAGCAAAAAAAAATCACAAAATGGGAATGCGAGTAAAATTCTGACCTGTTTCCCAATTTTGTCGCTTCTTTCTTGAAGAAACTGTCCTTGGTGCAGATTAACATTTAGTGCCTTGTACATGTGACCTTTCTACCCAGGTGGCAGTGGATTTTGTGTACCAGGCTGCCAGCTGTTTGATCAACTGGGGCAACCATGGTGACCAAACATCCTGCTGTCCTCAAATAAGAACCACAGACACATGCAGTCAAGCACAGGGCACTAGACAGGGATTGAGAGCAGGAACCCCTTGACTGCTTAATCATAGAAACCCTACAGTGTGGAAGCAGGCCCTTCGGCCCTTCGAATCCACACCGCCTTCCAAAGAGCATCCCACTGAGACCCAGCCTTCTGCCCTAGCCCTGTAACCCTGCATTTCCCATGGCTAATCCACCTGACCTGCACATCCCTGGACACTGAGCAATTTAGCATGGCCAATCCACCTAACCTGCACATCTTTGGACTGTGGGAGGAAACCGGAGCACCCAACGCAGACACGGGGAGAACGTGCTAACCACTGAGCCATCCTGCTGCCCTGCTTGTGTTCTCTTTTTAGCCAAAGCGCATTGAATGTTGCTCCCTCAAGTCAGACTAACTCAGCACAGACTTAGGACTGAGTTTAATTAAAGTCTATCTTCAATTTTTAATTAAGCATATTTTGTTAATGTGATTTGACACCTGTATTTTTTCAGTGTTTCACAAAAGAAGCTGCTCTCCATACCAAGATCACATTTAATCCCAGAGTGACACGTGCCTGCCAGGATGACCGGACAGGAACAGTTGGGTAAGCGTCTTTTGAGCTGTCCCTTAAGATTACTAAGTTTATATCACCAAAGGATGTAAAATCCGTCATATTTATGGTATGCACAATAACCTTAAGTGAAAATCTACATCAGTTGTATTTATAGTCTGTGTTTGAGAGTACCAATCTAAAGTTTACCAGTTCTGATTAGTTACACCACCCACAAAATAAACAGAAATTGCTGGAAAAACTCAGCAGGTCTGACAGCATCCGTGAAGAAAAATCAGAGTTCATGTTTCAGGTCTGGTGACCCTTTCTCAAAAATCAATACTGAACTCAGTTCTGAGGAAGGGTCACTGGACCCGAAACGTTAACTCTGATTTTTCTTCACACATGCTGCCAGACCTGCTGAGTTTTTCCAGCAACTTCTGTTTTTGTTTCTGATTTATAGCATCCGCAGTTCTTTCGGGTTTTTTTTGAGTTACGATGCCCATTCCAGGTACAAAAATCTTTTTACACGTTTCATAGAATTTATTAAGTTTATCATAACAAGTACAAAAGAAATAATACTTAAGAAGAGTAGGTGGTTTTCAGTCTGTCCACTCCAGGATGTGAGAGCGTAGCACTTGTTGACTGGGCACAGGTCTCTTGTTCCGTTCTGTTGAAGTTCTGCTTCACTCTTCAGTCTTCCATCTTGTGCATTGAACCACTAAAACCCAGATCTTGTTATAGCCACCATACCCTGTCCATGCTCAGAGGCATCCTGAACTCTAATTGACCTATTCACGCATGAACAATTTGTGGTCAATCTTGGATTGGCTAGTGTCTGTCCTATTCTTGAATGGTTTCTTTAACAGTAAATATTAGTAATATCCTACTAATTCCTCATTCATTCTTTGACCAATGCCAAACATTTTGTAGGATCATTTTATGATAGCTTGTCCCTCTCAGCTGACTACCTCCATTTTGTTTTGGTAAGGATCTAATGAGCCATTTATGTAACAGTTTAGTATGTAATTATCATTCCAAATGTCCAAACTGATACATCTAAAATGATCAAACCAACTACAAGACTACGAAAGTCACAAGGGAACCTAACATACACATGCACATAGGCCTCTTACATCTTTTAAGCTATATTAATACATATGTATGTTCTTGAGCCAAAGCCTTCTACCTGAAATCAATTCTTACATGTGTTAGCCTAAGTTTACATCAGCATGAGCCACAAAACTACAAACCAATGGCATTACTTATGACCCAAGACAAATTGCTCTCTTCCTTACCAAAAACAATTACAACTAACCACACTCAAGCAAATATAAATTTAATTCCTCACTTGCTTAATCAAATCAAAAGTAATAATTTTTCAAAAATATTGCAATCCTACATAGTCTGTAAGCACTAGAATGGAACCCAGTTACCACTCCGAATGAGGTAAGGCCAAATCTGCTTGATGCCAAAACTTTCACTGGTAATCGTTTGAAACTTAACAGAATAGCTGTGGTATATCCTGTCTTTTCAAAGGTCCAGAGCATTTCATAACGTAAAGCACTGTTCTGCTGTCAAGGTGATTCTGTCTTCCACTGATCAAACTATCTCAATTACTTTAAATAGTCACTATATTCTTGAACTGTCCTTCAGAACTCAGACTTTATTTTCTTTTTAAGTGTAATCAGAATTAAGAGGCAACTCCTGATTCTGCAATCTTCAGTTCCTGGGGAATTTTTGTCCTCATTCCAAGCTGCCTACATTTCTTTATAAATTTTTACACTCGTGACACAAATATTTGAGTTTGAAACTTGAAGCTTGAATTTCTGGAAGGCTCATCACTTACATGAAGAGATTTCTCAGAGGGCTTTCCACAGGAGTCCAGAGTCAACTGGCTTTAAAAAAGGCTACCTCCCAGTGATAATACGCTGGCAACGACCTTGACAAGGTTAAAATGGGGCTTTTGCCCTTCGAGGACAGGAAGACCTGTCTTTGAGAGGTGTTAGCCAATGTGACTGGCAGGCAGAT